CAGTTGGGAAATACTCCGTAGTATAATATAGTGTCTACCTGCCTGTGCATCTGCATGTTTGTCATGACTATTTCATGAATTTGTTCAGGATAGTAAATAATGATGAAATGCACTCATGAAGACATTGATAGTTTGAAACTTTTTATCTTTATTATTTACTAGTATTCCCTTGGCGATAAGTGATGACAAGTCAAAATCATAAAATTCCGCTGTTTATATCTCTTTTAAATTTCAATTATTTGGTTTAACATCTGTTTAATCTTCTTCTGCTTATCCAATTGTAGGATTTTGTACGTGAAGTTGACCCTGATATTATAATTGGTTATAACATCTGCAACTTTGATTTGCCATATCTCATTCGCGTGAGTGGATCATCTTCTTATTTTTTACCTTGCCAAATTTTTTGTTAATGTCAACTTGCTTTTCAATTTTTATTTTCTACATGTAAAGTTAATTTTGATTGATCCACGGGCACATATTCTCGGTTGTAGAGAGCTGAGGTCTTAGGGATGGCAGAATTTCCTATCCTCGGACGGATAAGAAACAGCAGGGCTCGTGTGAAAGACACAACATTTTCTTCAAGGTCCGATAACATTTGCATGCGGAAATGTTCTCTGTCAGAAAATTCCCTCTCCTATGTACTTCAACCTTTTTGCAAAAGTGTGTGTTGTTTGTTATTTCATCTAGGACATTTAGCATCTGTATATAGTGAAACTAAAATTGCTTACATTTTCAATTTTATAGTGAACCTGGAATTCAGTGTTACTTGGTTATAGTCATCATTACAATGAATCACTGGAGTAATCTCTATGCATCCTGTTGAAGGGACATTGGGGGTTTGGTCTTTTCTAACAGGACATCAAAATTATCTGGTTCTCTGCCTGACCTTTTAGGCCTATACATGATATACATATATAATTTAATACAACCTCCGTCCTGTTTTATAAAATTTATATATTTAAAAAAACATAAAAATATCTAAAAAAACAAGAGACCACATGACTATATAATTTTTTTCAAATGATATATGAAAATATGTAAAGAAAGAAAATTGTTTGACACTTTGACCACCTCACTGTAAAGAATTAAATGGGCTGGAGAGTGTAGTACACTAGTACATAAATATATCAAGAGCAGCTTCCCATTCCAGTAGTTAAATATTTAGTTTTATGACTTAACCTTGTACTCTGTAATATTCTTTCATCCATATGATGTCGAAACAATCCCAATGCAGGTATGCAGTGTGTAACCTCCTCCTCTCTTTTTAAACCATCCCTAATTGGTATCCCTACATTAGATGTTCTGTTAATATTCCCTCCGTCCCTCAGGGAGCTTCCCATATACTTTTTCACGGATTTTAAGAATAGATGAAGTTGTAGGATTGAGATTTATCCGAAGGAGAAAAATAATTTGAGCCAAACTCTTTCCTTAACAGGAAGTGAGAACTTATTTTGGGATGTCCAAAAAACAAAAGTGAGAAGGTTTTTGGGGGACATAGGTATTATATTTTAGAAGTGATGGATCTAGTATTATTCTTTTTATAATCCTCAGAGAATGACCACAAAATTTGCTGAAGTAGACTGTTGTGTATTTCAGGCAACTTGGGACAAGGGAAGGTAAAGAAATTACTTTGGAAGGGAGGGTTCAATTTGATTTACTTCAGGTTTATAAACACAAATTTTGTTGACGGTGCATGTGATAAATAGTACTTCATGTTCTTAAACTTTTCTATAATTGATATATTGTGCTCTCTTTGCAGGCTGTGCAGAGGGATTATAAATTGAGTTCATATTCACTTAATTCAGTCTCAGCACATTTTCTAAATGAACAGGCAATGCTTGTGTTTCTTTATCAATAGTCCCTTTCACAAATTCAGACATGAATCACATTGAAATTTCTAGAAAGCACTCAAAGTAGTTGACTTACTTTTCTGATCTTAATTTGGACACAAATTTTAACTGATCCTATATCAGTTTTGTTGATAGTTTATCTTTAATCATGCCCTAGATATCAGGTTCAGTTTTGCTTTGTTTTCGTCCTTTTTGCTAGTTCATGACATTTCGATGTTCTTGTCATATTCAAATTTAATTGATAGTTTTTCTTTACTTATGCCCTAGATATCCACTTCAGTTTTGCTTTCCGTTTGCCCTCTTTGCCAGAATGCTAGTTCATGCCATTTTATTATGTTCTGGAGCGTGTATTTCTGTATAATATGGCTTCGGGGAGGATTAGTTTGTCTTTCTCCGTCCTTATTTACTCTTGTGCTAGAATTGACACATATGTACTGCTACTCGTCTAACTGCTGCACTTGCAATAGTTTCTCTCTCCTGTCTTTCCTTTCAATTTTTTGGGTATTTCCTTCGTGGCTTGAAGTTATTATTTTACTTCCAGAAAGAGGATGTGCATCATTCTATCATATCTGATCTTCAAAACGGTAACTCGGAAACAAGGAGGCGGCTTGCTGTATATTGTTTGAAGGTATGTATGACCTATACGTTTAGTTGAGGCTCAACATTTTTTGGAGGATAAGGTATTATTTATCTTTCCTTTGAGGCTTTGAATTACATTGACCATCTGACAGATGGTGATGATCTTATTAGCTTAATCCACAAGTTGACTGGACTATGTCTTTCACTCCCTCCTTCCCTAATTTGGGCCTGTTCTTTAGGACTGGAAAAAAAGAGCTAGATGTTGGAAGAAACTGGAAGGAACTGGAAGAAACTGGAAAAAATTGGAAAAACTGAAAAGAATTTAAAGAAACTGAAAAAACTAGAAAAATTGAAAAATCTTAAAAAAAAATTTTAAAAAAATTTATGTGTGATTTTATATTATTCTCATTCTGATTCTTGTTGTTATAAATTATTATTATTATTATTATTATTATTATTATTATTATTCTTCTTGTTGTTGTTGGTGGTGGTGGTAGTGGTGGTATTATCACGTTATCTTAATGATTGTCTTTAAGATAAAAAATATTACGAGTATTATTTTTCATATATAAAATGCTAGTTTAAAAAAATAATTAGAATATAAAATTAGCATAAATATTACACTTCTTGGGTCATTTTTTCTTTTTCAAAATGTAGTTTTCTATTCGTTTTCATAATATTATTCTTCCAGGACTTTAAATGTAATTTACCTTATATAATTTTAGATTAAAAAATATTCTATATTTATCCATAATTTTTTAAATAGTTTCCTAATTTTTCATGTAGATTAATATACAAAAAAACGGTATTATTCATATTAAAAAGTTGAAGAAACTGGAAGAATGAATGTGAATCATAAAAATAGTGAAATGAAAAAATGAAATAATTTATAAACTATAGTTATGAACATAAAAGTTGTAATTAAAAAAAGTTGTAATAATAATAATAATAATATATTTTTTTAGAGTGATTTGTCAAGAAGTAGAAAGAATTTGAAGAAAATAAATATAGTTGTAAGAAACTGGAAAAAAATGGAAAAAACTGGAAGGAACTGGAAGAAACTGGAAGGAATTGGAAAAAACTGGATGGAACTGGAAAAAATTGGAAGAACTGGAAGAAACTGGAAAGGACTGGAAGGAACTGGAAGTTTAGAGTTCAAGCTCTAAAGAACAGGCCCCTAGTCTTCTCATTTACTTTTCTTAGGGTGAAACCCTTACCTGTTTTCGTTTATCATTTGATTAAATAAAATATTCTTGTCACGACTTGTTTTGTAGAATCTATGAAATAGTTTTTAAATATATAAATTTAATTTTTTAATTATACACCAGTATTTATATTAAAACTAAATTGAGAATAACTTCGGTCAGACATTGTAAGCCAAAACAAGAAGGTTATTTAGGGACAGGGAGTATCACTATGTATAGACTCCTAGGTGTTTTGTTTTTATCATTGTCTTTGTTTTACTTTTTTTTGTGGCTACAGTGAGAAAGTTTCTTATACTTCCTCTGTCCCCATTTTTTCTCTTTTTTACCTTTTTTGATCATCCCATTATTTTTTCTCACATCATATTTGGTCATATTTGTGTGTTCCACATTCATTCTTATTTTAAATTACTTTTTAACATTAATATAAACCACACATCTAACTTTTCTTAATATCCGTGTCACTCCCTAATGTCCCAAAAATAGTGGGACTGAGGAATAGTATGTTGTAAAATGATGAAACAAAAATATGCAATCATTTAGCCTTGTTTTTTCAGAGTAGAAGCTACAGGTTGAACACTTGAACTACAATTATATGCACAACTGTTCTTTTTAATCCTATGTATTTTATACTTGAGCCAACTATTGCCTGCTGTTGACATAAACTGCTCAGCAGTTTGATTGTTTAGGATTTTTTGTTAGTAAACAAATGCATGTGCTCCAATTCTTCTGCTTGAAAGTAACAAACAATCTTACAATTGGTATAGTTTGTACCCTGACTTAATAAATTTGCATGCCTAGATGACATTATCTACAAGGGTCCGTTTGGAGTGGAGGAAAAAGACTTCTGCAAGTCATTTTCCTCATTTTTGGGTGTTTGTTGAAATTGGAAAATGAGATCAATGGGAAAATGGGCTTCAGTCAAAGGGAAAATCTGCTCGGAAAATGACTCCCGCTTTTAAAATCAGGAGGTCATTTTCCCTGTTTATGATCTCTTCTTCCATTCTTAACATCCCATTTCTCCCCTCTTTTCTTCCCTTGTCAAAATCCTCGTTTTCTTCACTTCTTCATCCCTTCTTCTCTCTTTCTTGTTCATCTTCCTTCCCTCACCCTCTTCAGAATCAATCTTCTCTCCTCTTCCCTCCTCTTCTGACTTTGGCCATGGATCCAGCAGATGGGGAAGACAACTTTGGCCATGGCTCTAGCAGACAGCGAAGATGACTCTGGCCATTGATTCCGACGGTGGCGGCCCTGTCCTTTGTTCTGACTAGGGTTAAGGAGTATTTATTTATTGTATATTTTTTATTTTCTTTAATTACGAATTTTCAGAATATTTATTTCAAAGTTAATACTCCTTATATTTGATTATCGAAAAAATAACTTTCAATTTTCTTATTTTTTACTTGAAAAGATTAATTTGCTTGAACATTGCTTGGAGATTGGGTTGTATGCTTCTCATTTTCCAGAAATGAGCCAAATTAAAATATACAGTACAATTTTCATTCTTTCTCCCAAACACCAGAAAAGAAAATGACTTCAGAAAAATAANTCGAGTCACTGGTGTTCCTATTTCATTTCTATTGGCTCGGGGGCAGAGCATTAAGGTTATTTACGTATTCAAATTTCCTACTTCTGTTTGTTTGTTTTGTGGTGAAATACTTGCCTATGCTGGAGAGTTGAATTGCAAATTCCTGCTGTCAGGTTCTTTCTCAACTTCTGAGGAAGGCTAAACAAAGAAATCTTGTCATTCCAAATGCCAAACAAGCTGGGCCCGAGCAAGGAACTTTTGAGGGTGCAACAGTAAGCATATTAGTTTTGTTTAATCCATGCACCTAACCTTAATCTGTAGCATAAATCTAGTTATGTAAGCTTTTGATGGACACATCCCTTAATGTGTTGAATGTGTAACAAAGGCCTACTAAGTGAGACTGTTGTGCAACTGTTGATTTCTTTTTATACTTACCAACATTTGTATTAATATCTTTGTATCGCAGGTTCTGGAGCCGCGTGCTGGATTCTATGAGAAACCAATTGCTACTCTGGATTTTGCGTCCCTCTATCCATCGATCATGATGGCTTATAATTTGTGTTACTGCACATTGGTAAAACACATTTCCTTTTGATTGCTGTTCACTCTCCTGCTCTTCTGAACTCCTGCTATGAACACAAAAATATTTTGAAACATTTTTAATCATGGCCTAGTAACTTATTTACCATCCACAAGTTTGAACTTTGAATGGTATAGGTTAGCCGTTACTTTAATTTCTTCAATATTATAAGTATTTTTAACTTTCTACACTAGCTATGTCTAACAAATTGCATCACATGATTGCTGTACTATATTGTCTATATGAATTGTTCACTGGAGATGCTTCTAGGTTCTTTTAAGTTCCATTATTTTCTTTTTCCCTAATTTATCTGTCTAGGTAACCCCTGATGATGTGCGCAAACTCAACCTTCCCCCAGAGTGTGTACACAAAACTCCTTCGGGGGAAACATTTGTCAAATCAAATTTGCAGAAGGTTAGCTTTGAATCTGAATATGTGTTTTTGTTCTTGTGGGCTTATCTCTGAGATGTATCACTCATTCACTCCTAACAAATCATTGTCTTGTATATTCTTAGTTTCATTGCCAGTCATAAGAAAATAACTACTCCCTCCGTCCACCTAAAATCTTCCCATTATGTGTTACGAGGCTTGACCGACTTTATTTTAAATTCAATCTAATTGATTATAGGAGTAAAATTTTAAAATAAAAGTTATATAGTAATAAACTACATGAAAAGTTCTACAAAACTAGAGGTGACAAGACTATATTATTTTACGAAATGACTAGTAAAAATGAGCAAATAAAGTGAGTAAAGTTTGACCCTGTAAATAGTGTCTGGGAAGATCTATGGTGGACAGAGGGAGTATTATCTAAGCATAATTGCTAAAATTCTCTTACTCAGGGAATACTTCCAGAAATTCTTGAAGAGCTACTGGGAGCTCGTAAAAGAGCAAAAGCAGATTTAAAGGTGTTGCTTCTTTGTGTTTTTTTAGCTCCCAGAACAATTATTTCCACAGGAATTCCTTGTTTGCTTTTACTATAATCAACCAAATCTTGAGCGAGTATTATATTACATGTACTCCATTCTCTCTTGGAAATAGAATATGGCACACCACCATAACTTTTTTTGATGGCTCTCACATCATCTTGTATTTGTAAAGAAAAATTAAATATTTAAAAAGGATATGATGTTTTAGAATTTAATACAAGTTGAAGGATGAATATAATTCATAATTGTAGATGTACAAGTTTTCTAAAAGTGATCACAAGTTTCATAATCCCTTAAACCTGAACTGGTTGAGAGAGATGAAACCACAATAGCACCCAACAACAACAACAATAACATTACCCCAGTGCCTCAACAGCTCCCGCCCATTGCGGGGTAAGGGGGGGGGGGTCGGGTGTACGCAGTCTGACCCCTATGTTTAAAACATAAAGCGGCTGTTTCCAGATGACCCATGATAAGCGTCGAAAGTTGCATTGACTAACTGCTACTTCACAATTGCAAGAAACACAAACAGTTTAAAGAGCCAATTTGTTATTCCATCATACCCCAAAGCCAAAAAATAGTGAATCTTTGGCTCCACAGGGGAATGGAAGCCACAATAGCACCCAACATTTCATTGAATTGAAAATCCCATCAAGAGATGAAATTATGGTACACAAACAAATCAATTGAAAGCCCCTTGACTGGGAAAATTAAAGATCCATATTCCAGAAATCATTGGCGGACCTTTCCCTTATATATTTGTTTTTTTGGCAAAAGAGAGAATTTCACTCATTTTCTGCAATACACTAATGACTATTTACTATAACCTGTTCAAACATACATTTTACCCCAGGAAACTAAACCATGTAGTTTGATTTCAGGAGGCAAAGGACCCTCTCGAGAAAGCTGTTTTAGATGGACGTCAACTGGCTTTAAAGGTTAGACATGTTATGTATAATTATATTACCTATGTCCCATTTATTTGTCCACTTTAACTATTATGCAGTGAACTCAACTCTCTTTTATTTTCTTATCTTTCTCCAGCAATTTTTGTCATATTTAATTTTGATTGTTGCGACTTAATAGAATTTTTACTAGTCTTTACATACATAAATTTTAATTGCTAATACGAATTAAATATGATATAATATAATTTGAAATTAATTTGTTTGACATTGTAATCCAAAACAAGCCTTATAATTTGGGACGGAGGGGGTGTATATCACACAATATCATTTATTTTCATTTGCATGGCTCTTCAACTGTATTCTGACATGCAAATTAGTGACACAGTGCCATCTGATGTATTTGGTTTCAGATTAGTGCAAATTCTGTATATGGATTTACCGGGGCTACCGTTGGGCAATTACCATGTCTAGAAATATCTTCAAGTGTTACAAGCTATGGTATTGCATTTTTAGAATTTTATAATCTTCTTCATTTAATTGAAAAATGAATATAAAACAACTGAAAAGTAATCTCTGCAATAATTTATCTTACAAAATTATTTATGCTTTAAAAGGACGTCAGATGATAGAACACACTAAGAAACTTGTTGAAGACAAGTTCAAGGTAATTGAGGGCTACCAACACAATGCTGAGGTAAATTATTATCAATCTCTCCTCGGACTTGGAAGCATAGCCAGATAGCCTATGCTAACCTTTTCACATTCCAATCATATAGCATTTTCATGAATGAAGTTAATGTTTTTTTGCATGAGTTATTGTGCTAATTATTTTAAACAATTAAGTGACTATTAAGTGTACTGTCCTTGAAAAATTGAACCAAAAAGTACTATCATGCTTAAAACGAGCTTAAGTAGTATACCCTCCCTTTATTCATTTGGTTACATTTCCCTTTTGACAACAACAAATCCAGCAGAATCCAACAAAAAGTAGGGTCAGGGGAGGGTATGTGCACGCAGGCCTTACTCCTCAAAAGTAGAGATGTTTCCAAGAGACCCCCAGCTTGAACAACACACATTTCCCTTTTGAGTTTTATAATAATTAGCTAATCAATTTTTAAAAGATATTTTGTGAAAGAATATCTCTAAATCCCTATTACATTAAACAAGGTGGATGCTTTATATTCAAGATCAAGAGAACTATTCACAATCCCACGTGTTTACTGTTTCATACAGTTTCAACTTTATTGTACTGTCTCTCGGGATTTAGTTATCCATTCGGAGTTGAAGTGGTGCTCAAATTTGAATAACTACTAGATACAAATCGAAAATAAGAAACATGTCATTATCCACTCATGGGAGGTTGGACTGCTGAAATAATTATTTGTGATGTACCAGATGAATCTGGGCCTTTGGACACTTAAATCAGCCTTTGGAATCAAGCTGTGGCTGTGAGCCCCATCCAAAACAATATCTGTCTACTAAAACGTAGAAGATTACAGTTTACACAGGCTTTAGCATTTTGACCATATTTTCCCCATATAAATTTAAATTGAGATTAATCAAAATCCCATAGAAAGGTAAATGACCCCTCTATATGCTTTCACACTAAGCTTGCCAGAATTCGGTCAACATCTCACATTATTTTGAATTTTTTTTATTTTTGAAAAGTACTATTCTGAATTTCCGATTTTAAACTATGTTCTGGAGTTATTATAACCTTGTTGAATATTTTGTTTCATATGGATTTTAAATTTGCTAAATGTGAACTTTGAATTTTATGAATTACAATATATTATGTGCTACATATTTATATTAATGTTACTAATGTAAAACAATTCTCATTTATTACGTGTCACCAAGCTGACCTGGCCTTAGGTCATGGGTTCATAGTTGTGGCTCTTGTTGTGTGTACTTTTTGTGCTTGGTGTTTTTTGTCTCTTACGTCTTTCTTTGCCCTTAGTTTGTTCTGTCTATTGTGTGCATGCTTTGTGTGCCTTTTGTGTTACCCGAGCTGGCGTCTCTTGAAAATAGCCTATCTACTTTCAAGTAGGGGTAAGGTTTGCGTACGCAACTACGCACACCCTACCCAGATCTTGCTTTCGTGGGATTCTACTAGGTTGTTGGTGTTGCTGTTGTTGCAAGGAGATCTGGCAGCTGTGGCTCGATTTGGTGTCGTGACAACTAAGATCTCATCTCCTCTCTCCACTTCCTCATTTACTACTGTCTGAGAGAACAAAATCAGATCTGGAGATATAAACAGAGTATTTTATTGTTATGAAAACTGCTGTCCAGAACTATGTGTCCATACATATAAATAGAGGACTAAACAACACAACCATTACAAATAGACACAACAGTTTCTAACCAACACATCTATTGGAAACTGTCATAAAAACTGTAACTAGTAACTGCCTGCCTTTTTTTAAATTTAAACTAAATCCAGGGCTGGAATTAACCAACATTCACCCCCTTGATTCCAGTCCTCATTCCTGCCAAATCTTCAATGCCCATCAGTTGCCTCATTTCGATAAACTTGACCCTCGGTAATGCTTTTGTCAAGATATCAGCTTTCTGCTCGTCACCACTTAAATGCTCAATCCTTACTAGCTCTTTCTCGACACATTCACGAATGAAATGATATCGAGTGTCAATATGCTTACTTCTCCCATGGAACACTGGATTCTTCATTAACATGATTGCAGCCTTGTTATCAATGTGAATTGTTATGGGTTCCATGCTTTGACCAGTGATTTCTTCAAGCAAACCTTTTAACCGCTTGACATGCGGTTGCCGTTGCCGCCATGAACTCAGCCTCACATGAAGATAGTGCAACCGTATTCTGTTTTTGGCTGCACCATGCTATCGGACCACCCCCATAATAAAAAATCATTCCAGTTGTACTCTTTCCATCTGCCCGATCAGTGGCATGTGAGCTGTCACTATAACCAACCAAATCTGCATCGCCATTCCTCCTGTATCGAATCCCGTAATTGATTGTACCCTTCAAATATCGCAGCACCTGTTTTACAGATTGCATATGCGATGTTTTTGGTGACTCCATGAATCAACTGGTTATTCCAATTGCATAACTCATATCTGGCCTTGTATGGGTTAGATATCGAAGACACCCAATAGTCCTTCGGTACTCAGTTGCATCAACGGACTCCATCTCCTCATCTTTTCCAAGCTTGAGACTTGGATCCATAGGAAATTTTGTAGGATTACACTCCCACAAATTTGCATTTTTTAGAACCTTTGTTGCATATCCTGTTTGCTTCAAAGTAATGCCAGTTTTGTCTTGATTCACCTCTATTCCCAAATAGTATGTTAGAAGCCCCAAATCACTCATTTCAAAACAGTTTTTCATCTGTCTTTTGAACCCAACAATCTCATCCTTGCATGGGACCTGTAATGATTAGATCATCAACGTATACACCAAACTATTAAAGGTCCATTCTTTGTGGTTCGCTTGTATACTGCATGTTCACGTGGACAACGCTCGAAACCAAGTTGTTGTAGAGTTGCATTTAGCTTTGAATTCCAGGCTCTTGGGGCTTGTTTCAGGCCATATAAAGCTTTTACCAGTTTGTACACGAGATGTTCCTTTCCTGGCTTCTCGAACCCCTCGGGTTGTGATACATATACATCCTCCTTTAAGTCTCCATGAAGGAAAGCCGTCTTCACATCAAGATGGTGAACTTCCCAACCATCTCGTGCAGCTAGGGATAGAAGCAAACGAACTGTTTCCATTCGAGCAACTGGAGCAAACACCTCNGAGTTGCATTTAGCTTTGAATTCCAGGCTCTTGGGGCTTGCTTCAGGCCATATAAAGCTTTTACCAGTTTGTACACGAGATGTTCCTTTCCTGGCTTCTCGAACCCCTCGGGTTGTGATACATATACATCCTCCTTTAAGTCTCCATGAAGGAAAGCCGTCTTCACATCAAGATGGTGAACTTCCCAACCATCTCGTGCAGCTAGGGATAGAAGCAAACGAACTGTTTCCATTCGAGCAACTGGAGCAAACACCTCATCGTAGTCAATACCATGTTTTTGGACATACCCCTTCACAACGAGTCTCGCTTTGTAGCGAATTATATTATCTTTGGCATCCTTTTTGGCTTTATAAACCCACTTCAGACCAATCGGTTTAACTCCTTTTGGGAGTTCAACCAATTTCCAGGTTCCATTCCTTTCTATAGAGTCCAATTCGTCTTGCATTGCAGCATTCCATTCTTTGCTATCTTTGGCTTCATTAAAGGTATTTGGTTCTTCATTGGATAGTAATAGTTCTGCGTCATCAAAGTGAGGTGGATTGAAAGCCTTCTCTTGTATCGATTGAGTTCTTGAATACACATCATTTAGGTGGCGAAATCCTCGAGGGGGTGTATCATCATAATGTGAACTTGAAATCGGACTCACACCTGATGTACTGAAATTTTCAAACTCATGCGGACTGTTTGGAACATTTAGTGGGCTGATAAGAGTGCTTGGAACCGAGACAGGCGACTTTGGGCTAGACAACGAACAATTCTCCGGTGTGCTAACAGATTCACACCCATTCTGTACGATTGGAGCAGCCTGGCCTTCGGTGTGGTTGGGTGGGGTATTGAGTGGGCTGCCACCATTTTGAGTCAATCCTTGACCAGTCACACAAGCTTCATTTTCAACAACAAATTCAACCTGACTTTCATTTCCCTCTGTCTCCAAATCTTTAGCCCAGTCCCACGCTTTGTTTTCTTCAAATTGGACATCCTTGCTAACACATAACCTTTTTGTCTTTGGGTTGTAAAGTCGATATGCTTTGCTTCCTGGTTCACTCTCGAGATGTACCATTGCCTCGCTCCTGTCTGACAGCTTTGTTACTTTGGGTGTTGGGACTTTGACATGCGCCATACATCCAAACATCTTTAGGTGTTCCAAATTGGGCTTCCGTCCTTTCAGGGCTTCATACGGGGTCTTCTTTTCTAAAGCTTTTGTCGGAGTTTTGTTCAAGATGTAGACAGCATGTCGTACACCTTCTCCCCACAACCACTGTGGTATATTCATGGCCTTAAACATAGATCTTGTGGTTCCAAGAACAGTTTGGTTTCGGCGTTCAACCACACCATTCTGTTGTGGCGTATATGGTGCGGTTAAATACCTATTTATACCTTCTTCATTGCAAAGTTGTTCAAAGTTGGTAGAGACAAACTCACCTCCACGATCAGTTCTCAATGCTTTCACCTTGTAACCACTTTCCAATTCAACTGACTTCTTGAACTTGTTGAATGCCTCACATGCTTGGCCTTTGAACTTGATAACATATACCCACATAAATCTGCTGAAATCATCAACTAGCAATAAAAAGTACCTATTCCCAGATGGTGTACTTGTGATTTATGTTTGGCACACCAATCACCAATTTTTCTTTTGATAACTTATAGCATCAAAGTTTAAATGTCCAAGGCGTGCATGCCAAATGCAGGCCGCCTCATCCATCTTTGCAAGTAAACATGTTGGTGGAACTATATGAAGATGTACCTTGTATAGTCGGTTGGGAGACTTTTTCACTTTCATCAATGTTGCTCCTGAACGGTCATATAGCCAAAGAAAACCGTCCTCCATAACAATTTTGCATCCCCACCTCGTCAAGTTGGCCCAAACTTAGTATATTATTACATAAGTCCGGAATATAGTAGACGTTGGTGATGAGCCTCTGGTCACCATTCTTACATTGCAAAAGAATAGACCCTCTGCTTTTGATTTCAACTGTTGAACCATCTCCAAACTTCACACGTCCCACTATCTTTTCATCGAGGTTTCTAAAATAACCCCGTTCCCCGGTCATGTGATTGCTAGCACCATTATCTAAATACCACGTGCCTTCCTCGCTTCTCTCTTTGGCATTTTCACAAGGAAACACTCTCCTCATTCAGCATCACCACATCTTGTACATTCTTTACCATTAGCAAAGTGGGTTCATCCTCCTCCTTTGCTAGATTAACTTCATCATCGGTTCTTCTAGGAGCCCGACACTCAGCAGAGAAATGACCAAGCTTATCACAATTATAACACCGCAGGTTCCTTCGGTCACGTTTACCACGTTTTTCATCCTGTCCAAAACTTTGGTTATTATTTGAGGGATTTTGCCCCCCTCGTCCATGCCCGTTAGGTCTGCCACGCCCACGACCTCGGCCACGGTGATCACTAAATCCTGTTCCACGACCCCTGTTGGCCTGCCTTGACTCAGTTTTCTGCCTTTCTTACCATTCAGCCCTTGTTAACAACAATTGATCTGATGAATCTTTGACTGATCCACCAGGAGTAATCCGTTCCTCATAGGCCTTAAGGCTACCAACAGCTTCCTCAAGCGCCATAGTATTCAAGTCCGAATACTGTTCTATTGTGGCAACAATTGGAAGGAACTTATTTGTGGCAGAATTAAGCAACTTATTTACTTGTTTCTTCTCCTCGATTGTCGATCCAAGTGCCTGAACCTTAGACACGATCTTGCTGATCTTGCTTGCAAAATCATCAAGACTCTCACTTTCCTTCATTCTCAGCAGTTCAAACTCTCTGTTCAGAGTTTTTGGATTCGTGCTTGTTTAACCCGATCGGCTCCTAGATAACACACCCTGAGTGCATCCCACACGTCCTTGGCCTCTGCATGTCCTGCTACTTGCATCAGAATGTCTTCTGGCAGTGCCTGGAAGATAAAAGCCCTTGCCTTCTTCTGGATCTTGACATCCACCTCCGTCGTATCCCGTGGTTCTATGGCATCCCAAATTCGTTGGGCATCCATAAACGACTGCATCTTGATAGCCCAAGATGTATAATTTGTTGTAGTGAGTACAGGACATTGGTACGTTGTCGAGCCTCCATCTCGAACTGGGGTAACAGCAACAGCATCGTTTGATTTTTTAGTATTGATGGCCTCCATCGCAGACTATTGTGTTTTTCAAGGTGTATTGCAAGAAAACTACTGATCACAAATCTGTATTTTATTTTTTATTCTAACCTGGCTCTGATACCAATTGAGAGAACAAAATCAGATCTGGAGATATAAACAGAGTATTTTATTGTTATGAAAACTGCTGTCCAGAACTATGTGTCCATACATATAAATAGAGGACTAAACAACACAACCATTACAAATAGACACAACAGTTTCCAACCAACACATCTATTGGAAACTGTCATAAAAACTGTAACTAGTAACTGCCTGCCTTTTTTTAAATTTAAACTAAATCCAGGGCTGGAATTAACCAACAACGTCTCCCTAGGGTAGAACCGTTGATGTAGTCACCACTGAATTTGTCTCCTTCCTCATCTTCCCCATCTCAGCCTGATGGCCGTTGTGCACCCAACCAGTTTCCTTCCTCAACAATCAAGTTTATTTATAATAGTTTGAGGGTCAAAGAATTCACTCTTTTGTGTTGCTGCATTCATATAACGTAGAGGTATAATCATGCAAAAGAATTCTTTCCATTTGCTTGTTTCAAGAAGTTACTAGATTTTGAAATTGACTTGTTGAGTTACATGGGGGTTACATCACTAGTTACAATTGATAGGTGGCTTTTCTTATTGTACATAAACTTTACCAATTTTCTCTATTAATAAGAATTTCACTAAACCAGGTCATATATGGAGATACAGATTCAGTCATGGTGCAATTTGGTGTTTCTACAGTGGAAGAAGCCATGAGATTGGGTAAAGAAGCTGCAGATTTCATTAGTGGCACATTCACCAAAGTTTGTGCCCACCCTTTTCTTTCTAAAGTATTTTGCTCATATCATGCTTCTACCATTTACTCACGCTATCCCAAAAAAGGTTCCAAATTTCCTTTTTGGTTTGTCTTAAAAAGTTCCACTTTCCTATGAAGAAAAGAATTTTTTGGCCCATATTTTTTTCACTCTTCCCTGCTGAAATCTCAATAACACATTTTCACTTTTCTTAATAATTGTTCATGATCAAATTTGGTACCTTAATTTGGGACAGACCAATGTTGTTATTTCAAATATGAAAAGACCAATGTTGTATTCTCTCTTTCCTTGTCTTTGTTGTTGAATTATAATTTGATTCTATATACTATGCTTGATATTAAGGTCTTCTAAAAAATAAGTAGATATGTTTTCTATTACTTATGCGGACATGTTTTTTGCATTAGGTAGTGTATTTCTACTTTGTGCGTTAGTGTATAACTCCATCGACATTTTTCTGGGATGGCCTGTCTTTTGTGACTTTTATGGAATGAGTTACTTTCTTTGCAATGGTGTTTGTTAGGGTTCAACACTATAATCAAAAGCATGTGTAGTTTAAGTTTACACAATAACAAAACCCAATGTCCGTTGGGGTTTGAGAATTTGAGGAGCCAAGATGTGTGTAGCCTTACCTCTGTAAAAATAGAGGTTTCGGTTAAACCCTTGATGCATTGCTGCATTTACTACCCAAAACTTCATATAAAGTAAGAAGTAAAGGAAATTTAGTATGCCATTTTGATTTAGTCCATTATTTACCTGAATTTAAAACATTGCCATTAATGTCTCTCTTACCCCGCAATGGGCGGGAGCGTCTGAGGCCCTGTGTTAATGTTGTTGTTGTTGTTGTTAATGGAACCTTACACATCAAATATAACTGAGCACATTACATTGCATGTTATTACAGCCAATCAAACTGCACCTTAAAATTTCTTTTAACAACTTCGTCAGAATCTTTGAACCTACTATGATAAATGTATGTATCTGTGTGTGTGTTTGCACGTGTGCGTGTATTGTGTTTTCACCTACCAATTTTAAGAAACAAGATTTACTATTTAAGGCTAAGAGTGGATTAAACTTCATCTTTTTTAGTATATATTTTCCCGAGGTTTATAATGTAGTAATGTTTTAGTCAATTTTCTGTACTCTTCCTGATAATATTTACTGCTAAGATCTTAACGTTTTTCTTGATGCCACCTTGTTTCTGCAGATCATCTTTTCTTGTTCTTGTCTCATAGTGGTGCATTTTCTTTTTGTAGCCTATAAAACTTGAATTTGAGAAGGTTTATTATCCATATCTGTTGATCAGCAAGAAGAGATATGCTGGCCTTTTATGGACCAATCCTGATAAATTTGACAAAATGGATGCTAAAGGTAAGTGAATGGGAAACTGCTCTTTAACATGTCCTATTTGATTGTCCCCATCACAACCACCATAGACACTTGTACACAAACCTAAACAAACAATAAGACAAGTTCAGCAGTGTCATTATTAGGACCATCACTGTCCTGGGAATTGTTACCTTGACAGTTGACAGTGACACCATTGTTTTGCTTTCGTGCACAGGAATTGAAACAGTGCGAAGGGATAATTGTCTCTTGGTAAAGAACCTTGTAACTGAAAGCCTTCACAAATTATTGATAGATAGAGATGTTCCTGGAGCTGTTCAGTATGTTAAAAATACTATTTCTGATCTTCTTAAGAATCGCATGGATTTGTCTCTTCTCGTCATTACAAAGGTAGGTACATACAGTTTCCTTGAACTAAATGAGCAGAATTCGTACCTAAATTACTATGGGGTATCTACAATGTGAGAAGTTAACACAGTAATTTAACACTAAAATGAAAATTATCCCGGACTGTTTTTGACCTCTACTAATACTTCATTTCTGTCGAGTACAACTTGAACGTCTCGCCTACGCGTTCCAATCCACGTTTAATACATTTACACATGATCATTCTTTGAAATGTGAATAGAAGAGTGGCCTCTATCTAGTTGTTTTTCCGTTAGTTAATAGCATGTTAGTATGTTACCTTTGGTCATTGAAGCTTTAAAATTGCAACCACCCTCCCCCGAGATTTGTTTCTTTCCGTAGGAAAGAGTTCAAGTAACTTCAATGTTTTGTGTGATAAATGCGTAAAGCATTATACTGTTCTGTCCTGCAGCTGAAACTTGTTCTACCTGAAACAGTAATAATTTTCTCACTAGTTTTAACCATGTGCTTCGCATGGACTCATATACAGTAATTATTTTTAACGTTCTCATAAAATCATATTTCAATTTTAAAATATAATTCTGTTTATATTAATTTTCTAGTAATATATTCGGTATGCTTTATATATACATATCAATATCTGCATTTTATTTTGCATGAAACTTTAGAGTTGCATGCATTTATTCAATAGAGCTCGGATGGGATTTGCCAATACAGAAACCTTGGGTTTCTCTTCATTGATTTACTATCCATTGCCGAGCTTCTATTATGTGATGCTGCTATCCCCTAGTTGAGTAGTTAGAAATAGAATGCTGTAGTCATATCAATAAGCTTAGGAGTCTTCTTTATGACCGAATGTTCTAGTTATATGTCTTATATCAAGAAGCTCAGGTGTCTTCTTTCACCTTTTACATTGGGTTCCAGTGTTCCACACCAGGAAGAAATGAATCACTTGCGTAGTAGAAATGATATTTGTACTCCAATTTTTGATATTGGCACTCCAAATTGCTCTATTTACTCTCTCACATGAATAGTGTATTTTGGAGTGCCAATAACAAAAATATCTGTTTAGACCTTTTGTCCTTTTCTAAAATTAAAATTCTCAAAAGATTAAAATGTTTGCTTAGACCTTTTGTCCGTTCCTATTATGCACTCTTTACTCCAAAACATCTAACTCTGAACAATTTATAAAATGAATACACTCAAACCTCTCTATAAGTCTATAACAACCACTCTTTATAATAGCATTTCAATATAATAACCTTTTTTCTTAAGCCTTCTCTTTAATATCCTTCCACAGGCAACACTTAAGAGGCCAGAAAAACAGCACATAAAGGGAGCAGCCCCTCACAGAAACTCATAATCTCAGTATAAGAAAAACGAACTAAACATCATGCCTCAGTAAATATCTGAAACCTTTCAGTCTTGAATCACAACAGATACCCACCTCTTGTTTAATCACTGTCTTACTCTCTTTTAGGCAACATCAAGGTCCTGAAAAAACTTAAAAGTTCCTGACCCTCCAATTTGCATAACATATTGAATCAGTGGCAGCATAAGTGTATATTTCTGTGTTCTTGTTATGTTTCTCTCAAGTATCCTCTTTATGGATTTATGAATATCCCCACCTTGCTCCTACTTTTCATCCAGTCTAGAATCATCATTCCAAGTTGCACAGCATAATTACACTCTCAAAAAAGATGATTCACTGTTTTATCTTCACCTCCACAAAGAGGACAGAGTACAGTTATCAAGGAACTTGACAACCACTCTTAAATAGAATTTTATTCTTTAAAAGGAGCCACATTATAATTTGACGTTTTGATAAACTACTCTTCTTCCAAACAGCTGTATACCGCCATGACTTCTCAGTGTTCCCAATGATCTGGTGATAAGCTGCCTTTAGTTAAAAGTTATCTGCCCATGTGAACCTTATCATCTTGTCTCTCGCCTTGCAAATCTTTTTCCAATACCAACAACAATAAGGCTTTGGTTGATAATTCCAGAAGACAGTCCTTTATGTACCTGTAGTTTATCCATCTTACCCACAGAACATTTTTCTTTGAAGCTTCATCCCAAATCAGCCCCATGATAGAGGCAGTGTTCCAGTTAGTCATATTCTTGAGTCCCAGTCTCCCCTTACGTTTTGAGAGGCAGACATAATCCCATCTAACTATTGGTGTTCAGGTATAGTTCATAGTAGAGCTCCACATGAAGTTTCTACACCCAGCTTGTACCTTCTTCATTACCATACTAGGCAACACAGAAGTTCTTGACCAGAAAGCAAGAATTCTCATTAGGGTAGAAGTAATTATCCTTATTCTCCCAACACATGTAAAGTGTCTAGAGGCCCAACTTGTTATTTTAATAGTGAGCTTGGCAACCAAAGCCTCATATTCTCTCATACCCAGTTTAGAAGCAGTAGAGGGTACAGCAAGGTATCTGAAAGGAAATAGGAAATTCACCGTTCTTCATTTCAGTTTGCTGTAAAACCTCATCTTAAACCTGCTTCTGCACTCCTCCAACTATTACTTGAGATTTGTTGTACTTGAAGGCCTGAAGCAGCTTTAAAATTTTCTAGATCATCTATAATACACTATACAGATGCATCATCAGCTTTACAAACCACTATTATGTCATCCACAAAAAAAGAGGAAAATGGCAATGCTCCTTTTTTCTGTGTTTGTATACAATGTGTTTTGGGGACTTTGTTGCATTCCCCCAGTTTTGGGACTTTGGTATTTTATCACCTCCATTGATGATTTCCCTCATTGTACTTGAATATTTTTGTTGTATCAATGATCTGAAAGGTTCAATGTATTTGAAAAGTGGTCGATGATCCCCAGAGAAAGATACTAAGTTACTAACC